TGTATGACCTTTTTGCCGCAGTTGTTAACAGAATCACTGCAGTTGTTAAGTGGTCATTAAGTAAATCTGGCTTTCCCTATTGGCTTTGCTTGTTGAAAGCTAGCTGTGGAGGTTCTAAATGACAACCACATGACCTTGGGACACGGCAGCCATCATAAATATATGCCAGCTGCCAAGGATCTGGATTTTGATTATGTAACTGTGAGGTCATAGGTTTGAAGAACAGCTGTAAGTCCTTGTTTTTTTCCATTGTTGCTGTAACTTCCAATAGTCACTTGAATGGTCATTAGTTGAGGACTGTTTGTACAGAATGGGAGGACTTTAGCTGATGTGAAAATAGGGTGTAACATTTTGTTTCAGGTCTTATTTCTCTCTTCCAAAACAACTTCAATCCCACCATTTTTCCCTTTGTGATATTTACTTGTTCATTCATTCATTCATCCATTCATTCATTGCCTTTATTATTTTTATAAGCAACTCAAAGAGGTGAACATCTAATACTCCTTCCTCCTCCTATTTTCCCCACAGCAATAGCAATATTCCATTGAAATCAGCATGCTATTTCCTTTGCTGGTGCAATGAAGCTTAAATAGAATCCTTACTTAACTGACAAAAAGTATTAATTCTTATTATGAGAAGGTAATACAGTATATTTTACTGGAATTTCTAATTCTATAATAAACTGATCACCACAAGATGGTGCTGTAGTTCTAGTTTGATGACAAATTTGCTACTTAGCATTTGTTTATTTTATATTTAAGCTTCATAATTATAGGGGTAGTGTAAATCAGCAAACTCTTCTTTGATATTGACTATAAGATTGATTTACAAAATGAAACTGGAAAAAATTAAATATTTTTTTTGGCAACAGTTATTTCTGTCCTGGCTCTGTTTTAAGATTTCAAGTTTAGTTTCTTTTAAAAAGTTTTACAATAAATATACACATGAGCTGCAGAAGAGGGAAAGGAGAGTTGATTCTCCCAGGTCAAAATGCACCGAGATCTGTTTAATATATAAAATAGCACAAATATATTTCCCAATGTAGGAATGCAGACATATTGCAGATATCTATCCAAGAGAAAGCTAAGAGCCCCAGGATCCATTTTCAGCTCCAGGTTTAAGACTATACTCATATTTATCTGAGGAAGAAGAATAGATTTTGTTTGTGTTTAAAATATCTATATTTTATCAGTCTTGGAATACATAGAATGAATACTTGAACTGTCTCAAGTTTGACTAGAAAGAGTCCAGAAAATTTGCTTTCTTCAGGGCCATTTGAAGTTGTGAAACAACCATTCTAAAAAGAGAAGGATGGGATTGGAAAGAAATCATTCTGAACTCTTGGGTTCAAGAACGACTTCTTAGGAAGGGAACAGACATCCCGCTCTTTAAATGAAAATATCTTCTGCAAAGAGGAGTTTACTATATCTTGTATCCAAGAATGCATCACTTCCCAAGAGGCCTTCACCAGCTAGGAGAGATCTAAAGCACAGGTGGCAGAAATCACAGTCCCAAGAATGCTGCCCACTTCTTGCCAATTACCGAACAAAACCATGCCTCAAGTCAGTTACTAAGATCCGCGCAGCCAGACCAATTCTAACTGATCAGCCAGTCTGGATCTGATCAACTTTATCAATAGATGCTTACAGTAGCCCACTTAAGTGTTCCCGCAAGGGTTTTTCCAGTCTCTCTCTCTCTCTGTACCAGTGGTGGGTTTCAAAAATTGTTCGAACCTACTCTGTGGGTGTGGCCTCCTTTGTGGGAGTGGCNGCCCGCCAGGAGAGGTGGGTAAAAGAACTCTGATCAAGTGATCATAAAGATAGAGTAAAGGAGGCACATGGTTCTCTCACCTCCTCCTGCAGTTAAGCACTAAGCAGAGTCATCAACTGGGACTCTGGCAGCAACTATCTCAGCCTTTTCTTTTCAGGATGACAGTGGTGAAGCCCTACCTCCCCTGACTGCACGTCCCTGGTCAGTAGATTGGGATGGTGCAAATGACTAGAAATGTGGGCCAGTTGCTGAGCACCCAAAATGCAATAATGTGACCAGTGAGAGGGGAATGTTGAAACTTTAAAACAGGTCATAAGTAGCTTCGAATGATTGCTAAGCAACTGGTTCCAAGTTGAGAACTATTTGTACTGAATTGGACCATTGTTCTAGTTGGCTCTGTGCTGACCAATCAAATGCTAAAGGCTTCTCACAAGCTTGTAACAAAAACCTCCCAATTGATAAAGGTTGCTGTTTGAACATAGGATCTCTTGAATCCAAAGCATGTGATCTGTTATTGGGCTACAGCAGTACTGGGATTTTTTTTTAATGCAGCTGAAGCATTGCCACAAAGAAGAATGGAAAACACCTGTTTGCTGCTGATGTACTAGAAGGCAGGATCTGTTCATGATGATCTAGAACAGTGATGGTGAACCTTTCTCTTATGGCGTGCCAAACTTGTGCATGTGTGCACTAGAATGTGCATACACACCATACCAATTCAATCCTCCCCACCCACCTGCGCATGTGACCCTCCTCATGCAGTGCGGTTGACCCCCCTAGACTCCAGAGGCTTTCCTGAAGCCTGGGGAGGGTGAAAACGGCTTTCCCTGGCCCCTCAGAGGCTCTCCAGAAACTGGAAATGGATCATCTCTGAACTTCCAGTTGGCCCGTTGGGGCCGTTTTCGCCCGGAGAGTGAAAACGGCCCCAATGAGCCATCCACAAGTTCAGGAATGAACTTGCTTAACATTTGCTTGTTTCTCGACCCATTCGCTGTCTCAGATGTGTGGAGTGCAACTCTAAGCCTTAAAAAAAAAAAGAAGACAGATTATATCTCCAGTGGGATTAATGAGTTTCCACCCCATAAATTTAACACAGTAATATTTATTTTTAGAACCCAACTATAAAAAAGCAAATACACTCTGGGACTATTAGGAAAGAGCTTGGAAAATTTCCAGGAAACACAAATATATNGTTTATGCATTCTGTTTTGGAATTTAAGATGGAATTTGGCAGCCACTAAGGCATGATCGGTTGCAACATCGAGTCCCCAAAAGGACCTGCAGTCAGTAACTGATTTGCTCCATTTCTGCTTGATTAAAAGGTTGTGGGTGCTCCATCATGGGAGGCTTTTAAGAAGAGACTGGACAACCACTTATCTGAAATGGTTTAGTTTCCTGCTTGAGCTGGGAGCTGGACTAGAAGACTTCCAAGGTCCCTTCCAACTGCTACTCTATGACCCAAAGGTGCTTATTTTTTTCAAGATATTTTTTCTGGTTTTTCTTTGAAGACATTTCGCTTCTCATCCAAGAAGCTTCTTCAGCTCTGACTGGATGGTGGGGAATGGAAGGGCATCAAGGGCAAGGCAGGGATTTTTCCAATCTGAGTTTTCTCAATGGTTTCCTTCAGGCAAGCGCTAGGCTGGTTTGTTCATTCAGCTTTGTTACATTTTACGAGCTGTTAAGTACTTTTGGCTGAATGCCCAGACATCTAGTTAAGATTTTTCCCTGCTGCGGGAAATAAAAAAGTGGCAAAAAGTGTCATTTTATTATATTATTGTGTTTGCTTGCTTTTCTGGTGCTATGGGAATAAAAATGAATACCTGGTAGGCAGAATTTTCCCCCCTATTTTCCTCCCCAAAAACTAAGGTGCGTCTTATACTCTGAAAAATACAGTATATGGCAAATAAATTGTATTTCAAGCTTTTTATTTTATTAATATTTCATGTTTCTAGATCGCCGGTCTCCCCCAAGGAATTTTTCATGCAATACCTTGACTCGTTGACATCTTTCTTTGGAAAAGCAGTTCTGAAAAGGTCTCTTCCTTGCTTTCTTTCTGGAATTCTCCGAAAGGCTTAGTTGCTCCCTTAGCGCAGTCACTGAGGAGGAGATTCCCCTCCATCAGACTCCATTTTTTCTGTCGTCATGGAAGGTGGAGCTCTGTTTTTCAGACTCCGCCTTGTTGTTCTGACATTCAGCTGATTGGTTCTGTTGGTTTGATGGAGATTTTGGCTTCTTTTGTTTGGTTCATTAGCCGGCGACTGAGACATCTGTTTTCGAAACGTTCGGAGCTGTTGCAGTAGAGAACATTTCCCAGTGCAATTTTTGCTAGAAGAAGAGAGTGAGAGAGAGAGAATGATTTGGTTAATATAGCCCACGGGTGTCAAACTCAAGGCCTGGAGGCCGGACCTGGCCACTGGGGTACTTAGATCTGGCCCACGGGGCTGCCCTGAAAATAGCAAAATGGCAACCAGGAAAAATGTAGCCACAGCTGCAGGGTGTGTGTGTGTGTGTCTGTAAAGTCAAAGGACAGGTAATCCTTGACATACAACCACAATTGAACCAAAGCTTCTGTTGCTAAGCAAGGCAGTTTTGTTAAGTGAGTTGTGCCCCATTTTGCAACTTTTTTTGCCCTGGTTGTTAAGCGAACCACTGCAGTTATTAAGTACATAATGTGGCCATTGACTTTCCTTGTCAGAAGCCAGCTGGGAAGGTTACAGAACCAGGGTGGCGCAGTGGTTAGAATGCAGCATTGCAGGCTAATTCTGCCAACTGCCAAGAGTTCGAACCTGACCACCTTCCAACCGTCTGAGGTCAGTAAAATGAGGACCCAGATTGTTGGGGGTAATAGGCTGGCTCTGTAAGCCGCTTAGAGAGGGCTGGAAAAAGCACTGTGAAGCGGTATATAAATCTTCAAATGGTTATCACATGACCTCAAGTCCGTGCAACAGTTTTAAACACATACCTGTTACCAAGCATTCAAATTTGGTTCATGTGGCGATGGGGATGCTGCAACGGATTGTAAGTATGAGAACCAGCGACTGGTAACTTTCTAGTGCTGTTGCAGCTTCGAACAGTCACTAAACAAATGACTGTAAGTCGAGAACTATCTGTATCCCTTGGGTACAGAATCAACTACTGTGTTTTCCTGAAAACAAGACAGGGTCTTATGTTCTTTTGACCCCTGAAATAAGCGCTTGGCCTTATTTTCGGGGAGGTCTTATTATTTTTGAGGTGCAGCAGGTGGTAAGCATGGTCACCTCCTGGCTGCTGCTGCTGTGTTGCAATATTTTCAGGGAGGGTTAATTTTCGGGGGAGGGATTATTTTAGCGCATGCGCTCAAAAGCCCAATTGGGCTTATTATCCGGGAATGTCCTATTTTCGGAGAAACGAGGTAGTTTCCCAAACAAATGCAGAATGGGATCTGTCGCTGTGATGCAGGTGGTGCGCCCCGGTACGAGTGTACCAGAGCCTGCCCGGAACACTGGGTGCCGTTCCGCTATGGTGCTCCAGAGGGCCTGCCCGCCCGAGCTCCTTACCTGTCTATTAAGCCTTTGGTGTGTATGCTGCCTGCGCTCTGCTCCGCTGAGCAGCTGCAGCGTCACGGAGGCTTGTGGAGGCATTGCAGACATGTTTCCGGTTGGAACTGGATCCGGAACCCACCACTGCTGTGACGATAGCCTCATTTTTGGTGTATGAAACAATGACCATTGCTCACCTATACCGTGATGGCAAAGAGAACTCATCCATCCTTCCTTCTTCTTTGCTTTGGGTTGTTCCTTTTATATCTTCCTCGTCGTCAGAGGAGCTGTCGCTCAAGCTGAAAAAAATGAGGGGGAAACCTCACCGCTATGTACCTCTATCGATGGCCACTCAGCAGAAGAACAGCTACAGACCTGGTAGGAGTAAGCTTTGAGAAAGCTATGTGTCAGGCCTGCAGTCATCTTTTCTTTAGCCTGCCACACTTTCCATTATTCTACTATGCAATTTCTATTGTGGGAAAATGAGAGAGGGGATTGTACAGAGTTAGATGCTATGTAGCCATAACAATATTATTTCTAGAAAGCCAAGGTCATCCTTTGTCTTTGCAACCTCTGCACCTGACTCGAACTAGATGGGTGGAACTGCCAGCACGGCAGTGGGAGATTGGACCATGGGATGGACTTGTGGGTGTGGGGGCAAGATCTTGAACGTTCAACTGGGTGGGGGAAACTAGGAAGCTTTCAGATTCGGGTTTTTCCAGATTTGCCAACATGGCTCTCTTAATCAATTGGACCTTTGAGCAATATTTTGCCTTGGACTCTGATTTAACTT